GCCGCGCCCCCGCGGGGAGGTGTTTCTTGAAGCCTCTGAAGGCCCTGGCGTGAGGGTATGGCCTGGTTTATTTATTTTTTATAGTCATTGGGGTGCGATGAGGAGCAGGTAGGGTATCTAGTAGTTATTGTTTCCTGAAATGGTGACCGGCGTCACCAGTAGGCGATTAATTAAAGTTAAAAAAGCGATGCTGTAAATGCGAAATACGTTCAGCGAAGGGAAATATTCCTGTACTGCTTAATTGGGGCCCAGTATTTCCACGAAGTGTTTATATTTACAGGTTTGGTGGGTTGTCTCTCAGGAAAATTTTGAACATAGTTAATTTTCAACGCATAGAGTATAATTTTTCTGTAAGAAAGGTTGATTTTTCTCTCAAAACCTTACCTTCCAGCAAGGAATAGGTAATGACCATATCTCAGTACCTACACGAGGGGAAAGATGACAGGCCTCAAGTAAGGAAAATGCCACATTCATTTGCTATAATAGCAATCACAAAATTATGAGCCTTAAAGAAGAAGCTAGTGTTGAAATTCATCAAGAACACATATGCTGTTTGGCTTTGGGGGAACAAGAGCATTGCTGAAGGTGTTTAATTTTTATTTTTAATGCACACTTTGCCTCTTTCTTTTACGTTTAATTCTGTGAGTTGAGTGACAAAATATTGATAGTTGATCTTCAGTAACATGCTTGATACTGCGGAAAAAAACTACTGCAGTACAGTTGGAACATGATGCACATGACATCAAAGATAAGAAAGCAGAGGAAAAACTTTTAAAAGGGGGAGAAGGAAAAAAACATCTGATACCCACCAGTTTTCCAGCTGTACTACGTTGTTGTGTAATTGACCATCATAATTATGCTATGGAAAGATCTGAGGTGATGTATCCTATATTAGTATTCTCAACTAATTTTCATTAAGATAGGCTGTTTTTTTAGGTGCTGAATGAAATACCTTCCTTTTTCAGATGGTGTTACAGCTTGAAGCCTAGATGGGTGAAAAAGAACTGAGAAGGGAGGCACTGTCTTCTAATTGCAGAATCTTTTTCTCTATTTTCCTTTGAAATACTGTTTATGCAGACTTTTCTACAAACTACTAATTGCTCTAGAATTTAAGGAATTTTTTCCCCTTTTCTTCTTGAGCAGTGTTATCTTCATGGCTTTCCCATTACTTTTATTTGTAAGTTCTTTCGAGTTATCACAAGGATAAGCCTTAACTGCTTATTTCACAGCTGGCTGTAATGTTTTCTAAGGTAGCTTTCATTCATGCAATTCTAGAACTTAGAAGTGAGTGTGAGGAAGATGATCAGCTGCCCCAAATCCATAAACTTAATTTTCCTGTGTTTGCTTGACTGCTAGCCAAGTCCTTGGCTTCTGCTCAATCAGAAATTAAGTGTTTTATACCCATTTCACACTCTTGTGTTCCTGTGCATTGAGTTGAGGGAATTACCTTGCCAAACACAGTGATGTTAAGTAGAAGTAATTGAGTAAGGGCTGGTTTTTTATGTGCTCTTTGATGTAAGCCTTCTGCTCATTTTTTCAGATGTTCTCCTCTTTGCTCATTTTTCAGATATGCTCCTCTCCCTGTGAAGTTGGTACTCTGAGGGACCTCCACTTACATACAGTTCTGTATTTATGAGAAAAGTAAATAGTAGCTTTTGGTGTGTTTTGAATAAATAGGGTTGCTAGGGAATAGTTTAACAAAAGGAGATCTCATGATCTCTTAGTTCAGAGTACTATTGTCTTTCTGGAGCCCTTTCCCCAGAATGTTTTATTCAGTGTAGTTCTGCATTGTGTATTGTGTGCCTCTCTGAAGACATCACTGCAAATGTCATGTAGTCAGGAGTGTATTAAACTCATCATTTAAAGTCTGATGGTGTTTTGGATTTTGTAAATCTGCTTTTGTAGAAGTAATTGAGTAAGGGCTGGTTTTTTATGTGCTCTTTGATGTAAGCCTTCTGCTCATTTTTTCAGATGTTCTCCTCTTTGCTCATTTTTCAGATATGCTCCTCTCCCTGTGAAGTTGGTACTCTGAGGGACCTCCACTTACATACAGTTCTGTATTTATGAGAAAAGTAAATAGTAGCTTTTGGTGTGTTTTGAATAAATAGGGTTGCTAGGGAATAGTTTAACAAAAGGAGATCTCATGATCTCTTAGTTCAGAGTACTATTGTCTTTCTGGAGCCCTTTCCCCAGAATGTTTTATTCAGTGTAGTTCTGCATTGTGTATTGTGTGCCTCTCTGAAGACATCACTGCAAATGTCATGTAGTCAGGAGTGTATTAAACTCATCATTTAAAGTCTGATGGTGTTTTGGATTTTGTAAATCTGCTTTTGTGAGATATTTTAAATAATCATTCAAATTAGCTGAAACACTTTCTTGGCATTTCAGTTAACCTGTCAAAGTTCAGTTTGGCATGGAGAGGTGTGACAGCATGTCTTGAATTTCTTCTTTCTGCTGTGAGCTTCTTTGAACACTTCTCTGAATGCTTTTCTTTGGTAGTAGGATACAGCCCTAACCCTTGTAGTTATGATGACTCAAGCCAGTTTGGACACTCTCAGGATCACATACTTGATTTTTGTGTTTGCTTTGACAATTGACAGTTCTGGGCACTGTTCACAATGTTGTCACAGTTGAGAGAGGTGTGCTGGTTACACCAAGAATGTATGTTTCTCCCTCCTTACGTTGAGATGGTGTCCTTAAAGATGATCATCGTTCATTCCGAAAACAAGCCAAAATTGCTAAATTGTAATGTGCCATATATGAACTATTCAAAACCAGTGATTTATCTTTGGTAAATCACACTCTGTAGGTTTCTAAAGTAAAATTTTATCATGTGCTGGCGTTGTCTTCACTCAAATAGCGTAACCTCTTTATCACAAGCTAACTGCAAGCCTTTAGTATATGCTATTTTATGGGTTTGGTTATAAAAATAATAATTAACAAAATACTTGTAATGTTTGCTTGTCTTCAGAAAGTGCTGGTACTAGAGTTGCTAGGAGATGTCTTGCTGCTTGCAGATATATTTTTCTGTGCGTCTGTGAATTGCTAGAAGGCTATCTCAGTCTTAAGCTGTAGACTGCAGTAGGAGGAACCCAAGAAGAAAAGTACTGTGCGCCTTGTATTTTGATAGGATAATTATTATATTTGAGATGCTCCATTGTTTTGGTTTTCAAGTGTAGAGTTTGGGGAAATTTCTTTGAATTTGATCTTTTCCTTGAAATTTGCAAAGCTTAAATATGTTAGGGGGGAGGAGGGAAGAAGAGAGAGAGATGTCTGTCTGTCTTCTCTTTGAGCTGAAAAGCACAGAAATTCCCGTTGAGTCTTATGCTGTCCAAGCAGTCTTTGAACCGTAAGCAAGCAAGAGAAAATGATGCGTCGCTTTTTTTTTTTTTTCTTTTCCCCTCCCATCTCTCCCCCCAAATAAGTCCTCCGGTGCAGGGAAAGAAGCAACCTTTTGTGCCACTTTTTTACATTATATCTAAGGGAAGAGTCTTGAACCCATCTCCTCTCAGTTTTTAGAAGGCTTTCATAGGACATAATCTTAAGAGAAACTTAGCAGGGGACTATCAGAATGGCTTACAGCCTCAGATTTTTGCTGCTAAGTGTTGTAATGAGAGGCAAACTCATGGCAGTTAACTGCGGGCAGAAACGAAATGACTGCACAGGAAGCTACCAAATAGAAACCTAGTGAGCACTTGTCATAGGCAGAAGTACAAAATAGCTTAGATTAGAGGCTTGCAGTTAGCACAGTCATCATAAAAAAAGATTATGTTGTTTGGGTGAAAAGAATGCCAGTACATGATATACCTGAATCTTAAGAAATACACAAGGTATTATCTATAAAGGATAAATTGCTCTGTCTTTGAATAGCTCAGTGCTCTGAATAGCTCAGCCGCCTTATCTAAAACTGAAATTTGCAACCTCGCCTGGGTGCCTTTCCCCTGAAAGGAAATGTCGCATATGTAAGTTCCTGGAAAGCACATAAAGCTGGTGGGTTTATTGTTAAAATATTAGTGAACGTGCGGTCGTCTTAGCCAGATTCTGATCCTGGTTACTTTAAACATGTGCACATTAAAAGAATACAATCTATAGTAACTCTAGCTATGTGGTGTTTGCTGATGGCTGGTTTTTTCCATGAACTATAGTTTTGGCAATGAAGCACCCTGCAAAAAACGAGAGGATTATTTGGAATGGCCTGAATATTTTATGGCAGTAGCTTTTTTGTCAGCACAAAGAAGCAAGGATCCAAGTTCTCAGGTAAGAAGGCAACGTGTAAGAAAAACATAACCTAATCTATATTGCACATCACATCAGATGCACATGTAGCACTTTCAGTGGATTTCTTATTAAAAGTTATTTCAGTATGTAGCTATTAATTTTTTAACATGGTCAGCACCTTTTGTTACAGAAATTCTCGTACTGGGCCTGACCTCATGTGTATAATTCTGTGTGTACCTTTGCAGCTTACAGTTTTGTAAATCATCTTTTCATCTAGAGGTTAAAATAACACATGTATTTTCTTTCCTTTTTCCAGTAAATATAGTTATTGTTAGAGGAGAATATGACTATTGAAAGTTTTAGACAGTAATTTTTTAAGACACAGCATTTTGCAAGTTCATTTTCCTCACCCGTAAGAGTATAAAAATTCTCTTTTGTTCTTGGGTTGACTGGAGTTTTCTTCTAGTTTGGTTCCTCCCTCAGGTTCCCCTTCTGCCTCTGCTTCACTGTCTGTCCCCATTCTTTGCTTCTTTCCTGTGCCTCTCTTGAATATTGGTTTGAGGTGATTGATACATCTCCTGAAACATGCTGTTCTGCAGGATCCAGTTGTCCTGTTAGGCTTCCTGTGTGTGAAAAAGTTCAGGAAGCAAATCCCAGCAAAGCCATGGAGTAAAATATATGTTAACAGTCTGCTCAGTTACTCACTGGCTTCCTTGCATACATCATGGCTCTTGGTTCTCTCAAGGTTATTCACTTAGGGCTAAATTTTTGTTACCCAAGAGCCGGTTGATAAACACATAGTGTGAATTAAAATCAGTGCCATTTCAGTAAATCTAAAATATGGATAGAAAACATAAAAACAGGACACTTCCTTCTATAAGAAAGGTCCCTGTGCAGACTTGGATTAAAGTAATAAAGGTTGGGAGTTAAAAGGTCTGGTATTTTGGTGCATGTTTCTGTAAACAAGCCACCAAGATTTGTGAGCCCATCTCTGCCTAGGTCAACACTACTGCATTCCTGTTCCGTCTTCCATACCTTTTCTTGTACTGCTGCTGGAAAAGCTAGTTTGGGGAGCTGAACTGGTGGAAAACTTAGGTTTAGTAGGGTTAGTTCAGTGCCGGTTCTGCTCCCTGAACTAGGTTCACTTCATATTCAGACAAGGAACAGTGCTGGCAGGCTGGGATGGGGACTGCATGACCAGAGGCGTAGCAGGGTTGCATCTGCTCCAATTTATTTTAAAGCTCCACCAGTTGGGTACAATTATAGCCTTGCTCACTAGATCGTGTGACGTAATATAAAGTGAGGCTTGTATCTCTTAAATGAAAATTGTAGGACTGACTTTTCAGGTCTCATTTTTCTTGTTGATACATTGTTTTGCGTGCTGTTGGTAGTACATAAATCTGATTTTATCTAGGTTGGTGCCTGCATTGTAAATTCAGAAAACAAGATTGTTGGAATTGGATACAATGGGATGCCTAATGGCTGCAGCGATGATGTACTACCCTGGACAAGAACAGCAGCACATAAACTGGACACGAAATATCCTTATGGTAAGGCTTCTTATGGTTGACAGGTCCGACTTGTGATGTGTGTGTATGTGACAGTTCAGCTGGTAAAACATCGATCGGTTTTTCTTCCACTCACCTAATTTTGTTAATGTGCCTATATGTGATATCTCAGGATAAAAATCCCAACTCTGAAAATAAAAACAGCCTTTATGAAGGGTTGACTTCCTGGTAAAGTATGTTCATAAATGATTAGCCATTTGGGATTGTGTAGTGAAAACTTGTAAATATAAGCACACACAGTTGCAGTGTATGCAGATGATTGCTGCTCCTGTGTGTTTGTCTCCACAGATATTACAGAGAATATGTATATGCAAACCAAAAATTGGGTCTAAAATACAGGTATTAAAATTGTAAACTCCAGTGGCTGTGGGAAATTCCAGTGTTCAGCTGTTGATGGCATAGGCAATACATATTATGAAGGAGATGAATTTTGTTTGTCTTGAAGTATTGCATTCTGTCATTCCATGCCATTTTTGCCTCATCTGGTGTGCAGTGGATCTCCCCTGCTGTGGGTGGGGTGACTTTCATTGTTTATTTCAGCCTCCCATTTGATTCACGTTTACTAAATAGGTAAAAGGAATGAAGAGCAAGGTTGGTTTCATGGTAAGCATGGCTGAGTGCTGCTTTGGATTCTGTCTTTGTCTTTGCAGCAGGCATACTTTGGCCTTCTGCAAGCCTGCTTTGAAGGGTCTTCTGTGAATCAACAGGGCTGTGCAGTTACTTCTCTGGGCCATGTGTGGTCTGCAGGATGCAAGACAACTTGCTGGGCTGCCTCAGGCTTCATGCTGGGTGTGGAAATGGAGTTGAGAGCTGCCTTGTGGTCTGCAATAGCTGACGTTTGGGAAGAACGGTGGTTAGGACTGATGAGGAAGGGAGGAGTGTATGCTCTCTTAAATTCCCTTTCTTCGTCTTTGTGCTTCCACGTCAGCTCCCACTGCACCTCTGTGGGGTGAGACCAATGCAGCAGAAGCCACGGGCACCGGAAAAATGGCTGTTAGGAGCTTCTTCATCCTGTGCTGCATCTCAGCCTGTCCTGGGCTAAGGAGTGGTGGGGGAAGAATCACAAAACTGAACAAGAGCCCTGAGAAATTCTTCCTTCCCCCTGCATGACTGGGAGGAAATGAGCATCAGAGTTCAGCTTTTGCAAGGAGATACTGACTCTTTTCTGGTGTGCAGTATTTATCTCTGCCTACTAATTCTGGTTTTTGCTTGTAACTTCTAGCAATTGGTCTGATACAGAAATTAGACTTGCATGAGTTTTGCTGTTCCCTGTGTTCACCCAGAGCTCCTTCTAAAAACTGGCATTACATTTTCTGGTTCCCATAGCATTGAAGTAAAAGATGATATGCAGTGGTTCAGCACATAATTCATCAGTTTCATATTTGAGTTCTTAAAACCCTGGTACTTTGTCCTTGTTCACATTACCAATTTATTACAAACCCTCTAATGTTAACTCTTAAGCTTGAGACAGTTTCATGTTATTTTTCATAAGACATGTATTCCCAATACTAGGGCCAGCTCCTGCCAAATTTTAAGTCTGCTCTACAGCACAGAAACACTGGTTTTACATATCATGACAGTACCATAATGGTAGAACTTGGTATGACTGCTCTTTGTTTATAGGGTGAGGAAACAAGTGTTAGCCAATTGATTAAATACAAAGTACTGAAAACAGAATATTGATTTTGGTTGAATCTTTATGCTGCTGTAAAGTCTCAGTTCTGAACTAACAACAGTGTGGGTGGTCTCTGGGACCCGAGCATGTTCCAGGCACTCAAACGTAAGCTGACCAATTTAAACTAAAAATGCTCTATAAATTTGTGAGGAATTTTTGTACAAGATGAACCAAGATTTTTTTTTTATTATTATTATTTTTGGGTAATTCTGACTCCAAAAGATGTGAAGTAAAAATCTCTAATACATGATGTTTAAAAAATGCACTAACCAATCTAACAGCCTGGAGAGATGAGTTCATTTCTAGGAGTTGGTCTAACTACTGCCCTTCCCCCTGAGAATCTTAGTCTTCACCTCATTAAAAAAAATCACAACTTTGTAACATAAAGTGTCTGCTGTGATGAATAAACGACCTATTTTGTAATTCACAGATCATTTAAACTCTAGCAGTTTCTTATTAATCTTGATAGCACAGTTGACAGACCAGACAAGTATATATAAAAAAAAATCTCCAGCTTTAAAAAATTCTGGTAGATGCAGAGAGACACATAGAATTGCTGCTAAAATCTCATTAAACTGTCATGTTTTCCTTTCCGCTTTTGCTAATCATCAGAGCATTTTGTAAATTGAACTTCTTATCCTTGCTTTTTCCTGATAGCTTGTTCAGAGATGGTACATTCTTGCTGTGTGCTCCATTAGCTTATCGTGGGAATGCTGGCACCTTCATACCTAGAGCTGCAATGTAGTTTATTAGGTAAAGCTGATGGTAATTGTGCATGTACCACCACACTAACTTGGAAGATGTCTTCTGGAGCTACTTCATGCATCTGCAGTGCTACAGAAAAGGCCTGGGGGTGGATGTGAATGCTGGCCTCCTGGTTTTATGTACTGTTACAGGTTAGGCATAAACATTAGCTCACTTCTATCTATTTTGGACCACTCTGACTAGCTTTCTCCAGAACAAAGCCTCAGTATTGTTCTGCAAATGGGTCATTCCAAGGCTGCTCCAGAGGTCAGGGTGGAAAAAAGGCTGCAGGAAAGCTGTTATGCTGTATAGGCCTATAATGCAAAGCCTGCTGAGATGGTATGCTTAACCCTCCTCCCTCCCTTGGGCCATACTGGGGGATAAGCAAGGCATACTCTGTTTCATGCTGTGAAAATACCATGCTGGTGGGCTGCAAAGAAGTCATCTTACTTCTTTATGCACTTTGAACTGAGACATACGAAATAAGCATGTGGTGCCCTGGGACTCTCTTGAGACTGGAGCCTTGAGGAAACCCAGGGTCAAGTGCTATGTAATGCTGATGGAGCCATGAGTAAGATGAACATGAACCAGCCTATGCCCATTGGCCTCAGGGCCAAGGATCGGTTCCTGGCCCTGTCTGTGTTCAGCAGCATAGACATAGCAGGGGATTGGACCCAGAGGCTGTCTTTGCACAAGTGTGTTAGATGATCCTGTAATAAATTATTGAGCTCCAGCAGAACAGATAGATGCATTGACCCCACAGCTCTCATCAGATTCATTGTTTCATGGCTAGAAAACTTCCAATTTCCACCCTAAATTTTTTTGTCTTTAGTTTATACTTTCTTGTGTGTGCCAGCATTGTTCTTTTAGCTTTTCTTATTCACTGTGATTAACTCTTCCTCCTTTCTCCCCTTCCCCTGTGCACTCAGTGATAACAATAACCTTTTGAACTTTTGTTGTAATGCTAAACAAGTCCTGTCACTTTAAGTTTTTCTGTATCTTGAAACTTGTTGGCTCCAGTGTCTGTTATCTATGTCTGCTGCAATATACTGTACATATGTAACCTGCATCATCCAGTGTGGGTTCTGCTCAGCTCAGCATTAGGGAAAGGGTGCTTGGTGAAAAAAAAATTGTATTTACCCATATGTAAGTGTAACCTGAGCTGCTACCGAAAGAAAGCATCAAAATGTGGTAGGTAGTGCTCACTTTACCTTAGAGGATGCAAATGTTTGCAAGGCATTTGGATTACAGGAATAGTAATGTGGATCACCTGTATTGATGCTATGCATTCCTTCGGAGAGTCTTGAAGCAGATTAAAACTTTTTTCATTCTAGTTGTGTATGTTTGAACAGTTTAGTAGTATAGCCTTCTTATGTCAGAAAGCACTGGCTGTTTTGCAGAATGCCATTTTTCACAGTACAAAATCGGGCTTTTGTTGCTATGTTGGAACTGGCTCTTTCCAGGCTGCCAGTCAGTGACAGGAGCCGGGCTGTTTCTGCGCACATGACAGAAATGGAAGGCCAGTTTTGAAATACCTACTTTACTAAGTTGTTATTAAAAGCTCTTCCTGAAGCATTGTGTTCTGTACCGTGAGCAGAAGCTTCTTAATAATTAGACAAAACTCTGGCTTTCAGAGTCAAAAGTGAGTGCCCTCTGTTTCTGTTAGATGAATCCAAGGATTTGATGATGCTCAGTTTCCTCTCACCGATCATTTAAAATACTACATTTTTCTCCTATTAACGCAAGTCTTCCCACTAACGCTAGTTGCTGTGCTCCTGTTATGCCCTCTGTCTCCACTGTAATTTAAGAACATCCATTTGACAACCAGTCTCTAATTAAGAGAGTTTTAAGTTAAAATGACTGGCAAATTTAGAAACCTCCAAGCAATAGAGAAAATATTGAGTAAATATGCTTACAAATATTTATACGGGTTCAGATACGATAAAATATGTGCTGTGGCAAAAAGTATGCTTTAATTGAGCAGTACCTGCTGTGTAAAATGAAACAAACTGTTATCAACATTTCTTCGTGTTAGGATTATGAGCTTTTTGTCAATTTTTTAGAGATGAACATTTGAAGATATTCAGGCAAATGTTACTTTTGTAGAAGCTGTTATTTTGACAGCACAAAACTTGATAAGGCACTATGAAGAAGTGTGATACGCTCTCTCCAATTGGCAGTGCAAAGCCGAGGTTTCAGCTCAAAAGGGGATCTATAGGAGACAGTCTCCACCTACAGCCACTCACTCTTGTCCTGCATCCTGCGTTTCTGTCCAATTCTGGTGTCATACATCAAATCTTGAGAAAATTTGGAGATTTGGAAACACCAAGAATAATTTCTCTCATTCTGCTTGCCCACTAAGAAATGCCTCTGTGTTCTGCTGAGAGTAGAACAAACTTGGAGCAGGATGGGAGGAACTGGGAAATGGGGTGGATTAGCTAATGCTTCTCACGTTTTGAGAGGGGCTTCTCTGGTTTGCCTCCAGCAGATTTTGTGATGTTCATAAATGGGCTGAGTGGTTCCCATCTTCACTTCCCAGTTCTCCTCTTTCACAGAAGCAAGCAGTGAGGCTGGGGCTCCCTTTTCCTGGCTGCAGTCTGAAGAGGCTAGGACTCCAATGAAATGCGGTGGTGTTATCCTTGCCTCCCTGCCCTGACTGCAGCAACTGCTTTTCCTCCAGCATGCAGAGCGAGAAAGAGAGCAGCAGGGATGGCTGGGAGCTTTTTTTTAGCCCAACATCAGTGTCCTGCCTTCCCATAAATGCAGGGACCAGCAACCATCCCTACGCTTTCACAAAGGCTGAAAAAAGATTGATGTCGTTCTACAAATTCCAGATCCATCAATCACTGTTCCCAGTGCTTGTCCCTCCAGACCCCATTCCTTTCAGGAATATTTTGGTCCCTTCTGTGATCCTTGCTGTGTCCAGCGTCAGGGGTCCAGCAAGTAAAGGGTAACTGGTAGGTGGAGCTTGGGTAAAGATGGGATGGGCAAGGAATGAACATGAGAAGGTGGAGATTTTACCAAAAGACCGAGAAGAAGTGGGCCAAATTACAGAACTCCCCGTATGCATTTGTCTTGAAGAATGCAGTGGTGTTACCACATATCTAGAATGTTTGTCAAGTTGGTTAACATGGCAGTAGAAAAACTTATGTTAATAAATAAGTCAAGACTTGCTGTGTGACAATCTATATGCATTGAAATGTATTCTTTTCAAATGCAACACCGTATGTAGTGCATAATTTCTCAAAATTCCTTGTCTGGCTCAGTTAGTAATTAATCACATAGAAAGGTCACTCCCCCAGCCCTTCTTTTGATTGCTTCTTAAAAGTTGACATGTTATGGTGGTCCCTACTCCAAGCTCTTAATCAAGCATGTAAGCCTTTACACAGTATTAAGAAACACTTTGACTAGTCCCATGGTTCTTATAAAATCACTAGTCAGAACACTTTTAGTAGGTAGGAAGAGTACTTCTGACTCTGTAACCCACTAAGAGCATGTTCATGTTAAGTGGTTAATCCTAAAAAATGACCATTAATAGGATAAGTAGGGGTCTGTTATTTACATGTAGGCTTAAAGATGAGTGCTACCTCATACATGCAACACAAAGCAAGTATGCAGTGAGAAAAGATAGAAACACTAGCAATTAATACTACCAGTAATGAAGCAGTTATTCCTCTGCTTTTTTGTTTTTTTTTTTTTTTTTCTCTTGAATATAGGAGCAGGGGGGGGGATAACGATCATCTCAGAGTAAACCTGGGCAAGGGTTGCACCCTCGGGCTCCAACTGGGCTGGTCAAACCTTCCCCTCGGGGCTGCTCGGTGTCCTGGGATAGGCAAGAAAGCCCAAGGGGTGGGGAAAGCCCAAGGGGTGGGGAGCAACTCAACCTTTCTCACATGAATCCACTTCTCCTGGGGCAGCTCTGAGCCAGCAGATCATCCACTGTGGAACGACTGCCCCTCTATGGGAAGGTGGACACGAACGCTTGGACCATCTCGACCACCTCTGCACAAAATAAAGTATCAAACACTTGGAGGGGCCCAACTTCAGCCAAGCTTGGGCTTCAGCCTGAAGACACCTCTACGCTGCTCCGGCCTCAAAAGCAACCTGTCACTCCACTTGGGACGTTGCCCACCGCCTTGCCCACGTGCCGCTGTAAGGCGGGGAGCAGGAGGAGATCATTTACTGATAGTAATGAAGCAGTTTTTCCTGTTTTTTTTTTTTTTTTTTTTTTTTTTTTCCTCCTCGTGAATATAGTAGCAGGTGGTGGGAATGTCAGAGCACACACTAACTTCTCATTGCATGGTTATTTCTTCAGCTAATGAAGCCTTTTGAGAATACTTTTCAAGCCACTTTTCCAGAATGGAAACCAGCATTGCAGACTTAATATTATGTTGGCTATATGTGAATATTATTTTTTAAAAAACCAAAACACTCAGGCCACCCATAGGGTATTGTAAAAATTCTTAGTTTTACTAGTCTATTGAAATACAGTTTTCAGATTCTGAATACTGTGCACCTGCGAAAGGTTATTTTAAGTTAGTTTCTTATTGTCTGAGACAGAACAATGTGTAGCTATTAGTAGGAGCTCTTAACAGGTTAGAAAACTTTGTAACACTCCAAATGTGAACTACTTAGTTATTAACAAGAGGGATTTTGGACTCTTGGGTTTGTTTTCTATCTCTCACTAATACTCTGTACAAAGGTGGCCAAGTCTATAAGAAAAATCTGGGGATAATAGACTATCTTATCTATACATCAGTTAACAGTCAATGCCTGTCTGCCAGAGAGAGGGAAATAGGAGGAAGAGGGAATGAAGAGTGATGGGACAAAGCCTGAAAGTATTTGTCTGATGCCTATACCTTCTTAAGTACCATCTAGCGTAATATCCCTTGCAGGGGCCAGTAGTAGATGTCCAGGGAAATGTATAAAACAAAGACACATGTAATGATAGTTTCCCAGAATATTCTTCCAACAACTGAGCCAAAATGGTTTTGTATTTAATAGCTCAGTAGACTTAAAAAAAAAAAAAGAAAGGAATACTGGAAGGAAAAAGATGGCTTCTGGAATTGATGCAATCTTCTAGTCCTGTACTACTTTCTGCACTAAGTGCAGTAAAATACTCAGGCTACAGTGTATGTGAAAAACCTACCTCCTTTTGTTTTTGAAATGAAAGCCTGATGGAGACCCCACTACTTTTCGTCTTGGAATGATTAGTCTCTGTTTCTTCCTTATTACTATCTTTATGTCTTCTTTCCACACTGGACAGTCGTAATTATTCTTAATTTCAGATTATGTTAAGAAGATCAGGAGGCAAAATTTCTCTCTTCCCTCACTCCAGCTGATTATCTTCTGTAAGTTATTTTTGGCCTGAACTTGTTTTTGCTTGGGAAGAGGTTTGTTGTTGAAAGTTTGTAGAAGTCTGCAGAAAGAGCTTTTCTTTCTCAACCAGCGCAGGAAGGAAACTTGCTGCAGTACTAATAATGAAACTTGTCTGGGTTTATGGCTGAAGATTTCTGAGTTTTAGTGAAGGAAAAATATTTACTGAAGGAATTACGTTGGGTTTTTTTTTTAGCTCTGTAAGCCTTTGAAAACATTCTTTCTGGAGGCCCTCCACATTTTAGCCTGCTGCCTAGAATGTAAGTATATTGTTCAAAGAAACTTAGAAGTGATGTTTCTGTCCTATTGACATAACCTAGTTCCATTTGCAGAAAGAATGATCCTCTTTTTCACTCAATCCTCTGTAACCCCAGAAAAATAATTCTCTGACTATTTCTTGTGAAACCTACATAAGATTAGTGCAACTCAGTAATATACTTGGAGTTAAATGTATTTTCTGGATTTTCTAAATGTATAGGTTCATATAATTGTGTCTCTTGTACACGTAATGGCATACGTTTAAAAGACAGTGTGACCCAATTACAGTTGGAATAGAAACAATAATAATAGTAATAGAAACCTTAATGTGATTGTGCTTGGTTGTGGTTTGTTGCAGTTTCTTTTTTGTTAATCTATTTTTTATGTTAGTTTCTGGCTTTACTGTTAACGAGGGGGTATGTGGACAGCATGGTCATGGTGATGCTGGGGACTGCTTGTAGAAGTCGATACTGAGCTTTCTTTAGCAAGTGTTTGGTCCTTTGTGACTTGGCTAGATGAGAAAGCTGGTGTGCTTTAAGTTAAGCTGTAAATTTATAGTGCATTAGCTGCTATGTAGAAAATTCCATGTAGGCATTTAGCGCATATGAAAAACATTTCCATTCAGCAAGGATTCCTGCGCGTTGAAGGTGCTGCACTCAGTTACTCTGTGTGTGGTGAGATCATTCACACAGAGGTCAGTACATAGTAGCAACTATGCTATGAGCTTGTGCTCCTAACTTTGCCTGTTGTAATTTTCCCACGTGTTCAAGGGAGAGGTAAACTACTTTTTTTTAACCCATTCTTCAGAACAAGTGGTGGAAAAACTCTTAATGTCTGCATGTGCAAATCTTTAGATGAGCTCAATCCCACACCACACGTCAGCACCAGTTTATGAAGTAAGTCAGGGCAGCAGGTAGTTTCTTAGTAGGTAGGTATATAAATTATGCAACTTGTTGTCATTCCTAGGAGTAAACAGGAAGTTCTTGCAGAGATCCTAATGTTTTTTTCAGAGGTTCATGGTGGATGACACAGAAACTGTGCTCTTCTCACCTGTGTTGGTAACACATTAGGTAATCTGCTGATGTGTACAGCATAAAAACTTAAACCCTAAGGTGCGATCTGTCCAGAAAGAGCTATTGGGTTGCTGTGGAATAAGGCCGGGTAGTCTGTTGCTAGCTGGCCTATCTTAAATCCATGGAGAAATAGAGGACTTTGTTTTCCTGCTTGGGAAGTCTGGCACCTTTTAATGAGCAGTAAACTCACTTTAATATTGAAGCTGGGACATTTTTATGGTTGAGTGTGTCTTGTGTATTCTTGGGGTGAGAGAATCATGCAGCGGCGCTGAGCCGTTCTGAGACCCAGAGGACAGAGCTACTTGGTTTTACTTCGCGATTCTCCTGCCTTTAAGTGCGCACAGTGCGCTCTTATAACCGTAAGACTGTTCCTATCTGTGCATGTAAACACATAAATGAGCTGTTTTATACTGGCAATTAGATACTCCAGAGAGTTGTGAAGCTGTGAGATATTGCTTCACTTAGGGTGGTTGCAACTACTTGGCCCACAGCCTACGGCTTTGTTGCCTGCAATAGGTGTTAGCAAATGGCAATGCTAATGCGCTTAATGATATCATTACTAATCGGCAGCATGGTCAGAACAATTGACCTTCATTGATCTTGGTATTTCTGCTTTTATTTCTTCCTCTGCCCTCTATGACAAGCTGTGCAAGCGATTTGCCTTTGAAAGGATGTAAGCAGTTATATTGTAACACTTTAATTTTAGTTTGACTGATTTATTTTAATGAACAGTATTAGGAATTGTTTCTTTTTTTTTTTTATATCAGTGTGCCATGCCGAATTGAACGCCATCATGAACAAAAACTCAGCTGATGTGAAAGGCTGCAGCATGTATGTTGCCTTATTTCCATGTAATGAATGTGCAAAGCTCATCATCCAGGCAGGTAAGGAGTAGTGCCAGCTTGATTTGTCAGGGTTGCAGTGCTGCTTCTCATTGGTATCTTATCACGGATGTATTTGATGTTAAATTGCTGCTGTTAGATCTAAATTAATTGCACTGTCAACTTCATAAGATGCTACTTGTGGGGGTTTTTTTTTTTGCATCTGAATGGTGCCAAATTTTTCCAGTGCTAATTGCATCTTCTGTGATTCTAAGCGTGCTTCTAATTTAGGTTTGTAACTTCTTAGACCAGGAGCTGCCAAAGAACAACACAGGCTTTGCATATAATTACTGTCAATTTTACTGTGCTCTGACACATTGAATAGAGTAGGGCAGAAAGAAATAAACTTCCGCATGACAAAAGGTCTGTTGGGAGTATATACATGAAATTTTAATTTGAATGTGATGCATGGTAGATATTTGAAGATTTTAAAATATCTTTGCTCGTAAATGTCATAAGACTTCTATGATCCTACTTTAATTATGTCTTTCATTACAATTGTTATAAATCTGTGCCACTGCAGCAAGTGTGCTGGCCTAAATGTGTCGCCTTTTTTTCAGATTAGGCATATCTGCACTAGGCTTCAGTTCTGTAAAAATCTCTGCTCTAAGGTAGCATGTCTTTTGCTCATTGAGTAAAGTCTTGCAATCCTAGCGTGGATTGCTGTTCTGGGGAAATGCTTTCACCATTAATGGCCATGGGAATCTAGGAAGAAAGCAGCAAACAGAATCCTTCTTTATTTTGGTCAGTAAGGTTTGAAATGAAGAGAGGTGAAGGGGGAAGGGCGATGGTATTCTGTATTTGTGCTACATTTCTCTTATTTGCAGAATCTAAATCAAATGGTCTTCAAGGTAGATTGGCTGTTTGTTCACAATGTAGTCGTTCATCCTTTCACTTATGCACTTAGGTAGGCACTAAATTGCAATGTATTGATATTTATGTTGTCTGGTAAACACAGTAAGGTGTTGATAGGCTCTGAAATGCTTGTGACTTCTCTTGGGTCAACCTTTAGACTTCTCCTCTGCCTGAGTAATTTAGGCATAGATCATTCAACAATTTGAGACAGCATGCATTTATGAGGATTTGAACCTGGGACTGGGAGTTATTTACAAAACAGAGAACAAAATGAAAAAGCATCCTTTTAAAGCTGTGCATTTGGAGGGGGAATGGGATTTGGGGTTTAAGTTTTTTGTGGGTATTAAAGAAGCAGAAAGATAAGTTTTCAATTACTTTTGCAAAAATGCTTAATTTCTAGTCTGTCTGTCTTGTGTTTTTGCCTGCAAGTTTTTGGTTCTGGTTTTCTGAGTTAAACTTAGGTGACTAAGTGGAGAAAAACATTTTCTAAGATTTTTGAAAGAATTGTACTCCAAAACAGCTCTACCTTACATAGCCTTATTCTCAGGTACAGCCTGCAGTATTTTGGGAAGTAGGGGTGTACTGAGGAGGTCTAGAATATGTGGATGAATGCTGCCTTTTCTGATTTTGTGCACCAGTTTTTATGGGACATTACTTTTTTTTTTTTTTTCCCAGTGTAATTCTAACATTTTTTCTATCTGCCTTTTTTAGGCATAAAGGAAGTTATTTTTATGTCTGACAAGTATCATGACACTACAGAAATGACAGCTGCACGGCGGATGTTTGATTTAGCAGGTATTATATACAGGTAAGAGAACGTTGGATTAACTTTATTTTTATTTTTGAAAGGAAAATGGTGTGTGAAAGATACCAACTTCAGGGAAAAAGTTTTTCTTCTTTGCATCATGCAGCGTTTTATTCTTTGGTAGTGTTTGTAGATGGCTTGCTCTGTATGCCTGCAAAAGATACTGGATTGACAGACTGTTGCACCATTCTTTTTGCTTTGTATATGGTTGAATTTCAATTTCTTAATGTTTGTATGACAAAATGGTCCATTTGGAATATTAAATTTCATTCCTGGACTGCAAGTGAAATTGCGAATGGAATGCTTATTTGTTACATTGTACTCAAGAGAGTCATCGCTGGCCCTGCACGGAGAAGGAGGTTAGGTTAGATGACCTCCTGAACTCCCTTACAACCTGAAGTTGCCTATGATCCTATGAGTTGGACTGAAATGACCAGCTGGGGTTTTTTTGTGGATTACCTGATCCTTACTGAAACTTTAGTATCTTTCTGTTGCAGTCCATTTGGGAAGGTGTCAAACCAGCCACCCGTGATTAATTCTTGGTGCCTATAGCTGTCCAGTCTTCTTTGGTCAGCTTTTCTTGTGAGAAAAGGGTAAAACTTGGAATACTTGCCTTAAAGTAATGAGAATCTGAAAAATGTTTGAAGAGTGGGGTTGTTAAAGACACTGACAGAGATACCTAAAGACAATCTGTTCAACAGCTAGTTTGATAGCAATAACATGCTGTGGATGAGGCTAATTATGCAGTCAGGGAGGCTTTGCAACTCTAAAAAGTTTTACAATATTAATATAAAGGCTTCGAAAAATTTGCAAACATAACAATTCTGACAGATAAAATTTTAGGATGAAAGGTACCTACTGGGCTAAGAAACACCCATGAAAAAACACAGCAGTACTTGAAATTCAGTTTTAGTCCTTCAGTGTATTTCCTGTCTACTAAGACTGTTTGACTAAGAAGCATAAATCATTCTCTTGCAAGTCAAATCTTGTAACTTCTCCAGGGTGAGAAATGTTTCTTGCATTTCAGATTGCTATTCTGGACAAAGTATTCGGAGTTTCTGTGGTCAGCAGCATGTGCTTTGCTGTGTTGACTGTTAGTCATTCTTGTATTGATTATTAAGGATGTAGGTGCTACTTAATGAATCTCTTGAACTGAACTGCAGAGCTTAATTAGGCATTAAATCCACACTATTTGCATAATCCTTTGTTTACTGGTAGACTGGAAAATATATGCTCAGTCCCCAAATATCTTCCTTGCTAATTGCTGTAGCAGATGCTCTAATGATAATAAAAGGAAACATTTTGTGGCAGTATTAATTTTACAGTTCTAAAGTTACAATTTTAAAATTATTCCCTCTTAACGAGTTTAGTTTTTCCCCAGTATGATGCATAATGTCATCTAGTCCCCTAGCACAAAAAATAATTTAATATACTGAGGCAAAGTTTGGAAGTGTTCTTTGAAAACTTGGCAGGAAAAAAGTGACCAAAATATTTATCAAAATATATCCCAAATATCTTTTATATATACGTATGGCTACACATATGTGTATATGCAATACATATACAGTATATTGAAATATTTTTATGGATACATATATGTGTACCTGTATCTGTAAATATATATTAAAAAATATTTGAAATATAAATATATATGAACAAAAATCCCAGCCCTGGTAACATGATGCCACCACCTGCAGCTAAGTTCTTAAAAGTCCTTTGACTCCTGGGTAATTTATGAACTCCAATAGCCGAAGAATGTGCAGGCTAACCCACCCCATGTGTCTCTTTTGTCTTAGTCTTTCTTGTCCAGGTTTCTCTCAGTGTGGTGCACTATAATTGGCTCCCACAGAGATGAAAACTATGTGAATCCAAGGAGGGTTTTTTTTTTTTATATTATTGCTTCAAAAATTTAGCTGGAGCTAAAGCAAGCAAAATGTTTTAACTACTTGCTAACTAATATCTGTGGTTTTCTTTATTTTAGGGAATTCAAGCCAAAGTGTAACAAGATCATCATCGACTTTGATTCAATTAACAGCAGACCAAGTCAAAAGCTTCTGTGAATTAAGTCTCATTAAGACCCTAGAAGACTGTGATTATCCTTTTCTAAAAAGCTGCTAATGCCTTTCATCTTGAAGTTACTTGCAACTTTTTAATGGCTTCTGTAGCTAAAGTAGACTTCTAAGAAATCCAAGGCATAAAATGTCCCCCTCACTTCATCTTGTCATGTGGAATCTAAATCTACTTAAAATTTTTTAATGCCTTTATCAAAACTGCTTAAAAAGTCTGGAGACATGTAGATGAGACAATATAATGTATGTAAAGAAAACTGTTCTGAACCTCGCTGTATTCATCACCACATGCTCTGATAGGCTGTCAGCATTGATTTAGACTCAGTTTAACAGTAGTACTTACTGTAACCAGTAGTACAGTGGAATACGCTAATATATGTTGATCTCTCTATGGGATATGTGGATCTTAATAGTTGATCCTCATAAAGGACAAAAAACGTTATCCATGCAAATCCTAATCTTCCAACTAGCGTAACACTAACATTTTGTAACATAATGTGTGATATTCTGCATGTGTTATCCAACAAATGAAATGCTGATTTTTCTTTTAATTGCTGTCTCACATGTTCATACATGGGGAGGGGTGAGAGAAGAAGTTGTTCTGAGAACAGTCCCTGCTCTGGACCAAGCTTTACAGGTGCTTTCAAGTCCTCATTTTCCCTGAGGCTCCAGAATTGGAGGGTGTTGAGGGAGTAAATCATTTGGGTCTTTACCTTTGGGACTCTTACTTGGAGTTGGTTTTCATGTGGAGAAGGAAATTATTTTTTTGGTCTAAGCTGTTTCTAGAAAGTCTGACATAGTTCAGTCTTAAAATCAACCTGTAAGGTAACTGAATAGGTTTTTGTCCTCTGAGAGAAATTGGAGATAGTCAACCCATATCCGTATCTGTGCCAAAAGAGGTAATTATTGTGTTAGCTTGTTTCCCAGTGCTGGCGTAGTACCTTCATTTTCATAAATGTTGCCTAAAATAATACCCTTTTTAATTTTATCTTGAGATCTGGGAATAGATTTGAGTTCCTTCTCTCTAATTTGATTTTTTAAAATTAAATATGCCTAATGGCTTTGTTTAGATAACACTGGTGGTTGTTTGTTTTGGTTTTTTTTTAATGTGGTTATACTTCAATGAGCTTTTATTTTCTCTATAAAAGCTTTTTTTCATATTTTGGGACATTATGTAATTTGGCTTTGTACCAGTATTATTAAAGTCTTATTAAAATCCACTACATTGAAGTAGACTCATTATTATAATATTAAACCATGTGCTTGGCTCCAGAGTGCTGCTGTTTTTGCAATCATATGCAAAGCATATTTTGTGCATTTGTGATATTACATAAAATGTAATGTTCGTGAACCATTTGGCTACTAAAGGGAGCCCTGTAATGTATTATAAGATGTGTCCATTTATACGGTAATTTCCGACTTTCTCTTTTTTTCTTACAACTGTTTTCCACCTCAGAATTGGTGTGTGGCTTCCTGCCAGAAAAAGAAATTTGCACATACGTGGAGGGGGAGGGTGAAACTTGAAAAATTACTTTAATAAAATGTTACTAAAACAGCGTATGCACATCTTTTTCTTTGGCCCGAATTAATAAGTAGAAGTATCTTGAGTTAAATTGGTCTGACAATGGGACAGAGACGAGAGAAAAAGCAGAATTTTTGGTTTTAGGCAGCAAAAATGCTGTTTTCTTCATAGATAATTGCTGATCTAAGTTCAGACTTGAAAGATGTATGTGTTGTGATTCTGGTTACTTCAAGTGTTTTTATGTCAGGCCTTGGATAATGGGAATGTATAACGTGCATAAAAACTCTGGAGTTTTTTGAAGCCAGTGTCCAGGTGTTTTTAGAAATGTACTATTTATTTTTTTTTACAATGACTTTTTTTTTTTCCCCCCCAGGACTTTCCTGTTTGTGTAATAGAAGAGAAGCGCTGGAGAATACAATAGGATTTTAGATTTCTTCTGATCAGTTTTTGATCTGATAGAGCCTCATATGCAAGCTTTCAGAGTAACTGTCAGTGGACTCTGGCTAAGTAAGTGGGCTCTCTGATTTCCAGGGCAACTTTATGGAAAGGGAAAAAAGCACATGCACGCTCTCGAGACAGCACATTCTTAGTTTGAACTTAATGTTTTGGAGCAGATCTTAAAGAAGGTTTGACCCTTACGTTGTGTGCATGCCTAGAAATCTGTCTACTTCTGGCTTTTTTTCTTTTAGTAGTTCAGGAGGTAGTGCTTTGACTTTCAAATAAAGAACAATTACTAGAGGAAACAATGAAAACAGGTAAATGGAATAAACAGTGTTTCTGCTCCTGAAGCTTAAGTCAAGATGAATAGAACCATTTGGGCTGGAAGGACCTCTGGAGGCCATTTGGTCTTGTCCCTTGCTGAAAGCACAGTTGACTTACAAGCGAGATCCAGTTGCTCAGGCCTTGTCCAGGTGAGTACCTCCAAGAAGAGAGATTCTGTAGCCTTTCTGGGCACCCGTTCCAATACCTGACCCACCCTCACGGCATCATTGTCTTTTTTTAATTCAGTTAGAATTTCTATGGCTACAGCTTCTGTCTGTTGCCTCTCATCCTTTTGCTGTGGACGTCTGAAAAGAGTCTGTCTGTCCTCTCTGTAACCACCCATTAGGTAGCTGAAGTCAGCAGCTAGGTCTGTCCCCGACCCTTAGCCTTCTCTTCTCCAGGCTGAACAAAGGCCGTGCTCTCACCCTTTGTCATGCATCACGTGCTCCGTCCTCCCACCATCTTCGTGCCCCCTCGCTGTCTGCCTCCTGCGGGGTGCCCGAAGATGACACTACGCCAGATGTGGTCTTACAGGAGCCGAACAGAGGAGCATGACTTCTGCTGGCCACAAGTTTCCTAGCAGAGCCTGGTATGTGGGTAGCCGCCTCTGTTGACAGGGCACTTCATCTTCTTGTCCACTTGGATTCCTGGGCCCTTTTCTGCTAAGTTGCCTTCCATCCAGTGGGCACCAAGCCAGCATGGATTTATTCTGTTCCCACTGGAGGACTTCATCGTGTTTCCATCAATCTGTTCCTCCAGCCAGTGGCAATAAGCCATTGGTACAGCTGGACTGTGAACCACTACTTCCCAGGTTCCGTTATGGCCACCGGCACCACTCCCATGGTGAACCAACCACCACCCCAACTGCAGGCTGAGGCTTCGTTAGGGATTGCTTGAAAAACCCAGTACGGGAAGCTGAAGGGAGACTCTGGGGAGCACTTCGGTACTTCCTTGAGCAGCATTAATTGGAGGAAGAAATCGCGTTCAAAAGAAAGTGCTGAGACCCTATCCAGTTCAATATAACTCTATAGAATCATAGAATCACTTTGGTTGGAAAAGACCTTTAAGATCGTCAAGTCCAACCTTTAACCTAACCCTGCCATCCCACCACTAAACCATGTCCCTAAGCACCTCATCTATCCTTCTTTTAAATACCTCCAGGGATGAGGACTCGACCACCTCCCTGGGCAGCCCATTCCAGAGCCTGACAACCCTTTCCGTGAAGAAGTTTTTCCTAATGTCTAGCCTAAACCTGCCCTGGCACAACTTCAGACCATTCCCCCTCGTCCTATCGTCTGTTACCAGGGAGAAGAGGCCGACCCCCACCTCCCTACAGTCTCCTGTCAGGCAGTTGTAGAGGGTGATCAGGTCTCCCCTCAGTGTCCTCTTCTCCAGACTAAACAACCCCAGTTCCCTCAGCAGCTCCTATCTTAAAGGTTAAATCTAAGTCCCACCATCATCTAGATTTTCCTTCTAAATATTACTCCATTCCCCTGTCAGAGAACCCAAGGAACTGGCAATCTTATTTACATAAATTTCATTTAAGAAGGGGTGGTTTCACAGGCTGGCATGCTGAATGAGAGCATAATCTCCATCTTTGAAGCTTTGATCACTGACTGAGCATTTTATTGCTTTGTATATTAGGAATATTTTCACAAAGATAACAAAAAGTATGCTGTGACCAGTACAATTGTTCTGATTTCCAAAATAGCCTATGATAACATTGGCAATAAAAGCTCTTCTGGTGCATCACGCAGGCCAAACACTCTATGTGCATAACTGCAGAAGCTGCAGTAGTTTGTCAGCTACAGAAATTAATCTTGCAGGGGTTTTAAGCCATTGTGAATGAGCAAAATAAACAAAAATTCTGACTTGCCACTCTTGGCTTTTCTCTCTGAAGCTGGGTGATGGAAGCCTTTAAGCATGTGAGGTGGGATAAAGCTCAGAGGCCTCACCTGCTCGGCCTGAAGCAGCAGTGACACCGGGCTAGGTCTCACCTGGGGGCCTGGGATAAGTGTACGAGGTGCGGCTGGGGCTGCGGGGAGCCTGGAAGGGGCTGTGGTGCAGCAGGAGGCTCGTGAAGGAGCAGCACTCTGCAGTAATCCAACAGGCTTGGCTTGGGTTCCCCCTACACTGGGAGCACTTAAGGATGAAGTACAGAAGTGACCACAGCTGAAAGGCCATTTGTTTGCAGCTGTTTCTTCTCAGTTGTAGGTAAGAAAAGGATTTCTCTAACACAGGGCTGAAAGCGTGAGGTACCAACTCTTTCTCTTCAGTGGTGATGGCTCAAAGGGTTTGCTCCACTAAAGCCTCTTTTAGCAGATTTCTCTCTTCCTTCCCTTTAAAATCTAGGTTTATCTAATGTAAAACTCTCTGATTTGAGAACAGAGGGGTAAAACTTGTTTCAAGTGCATAGTCTGCATCTGCTCCATGTTCTCAGCTCTGGGAACTGCTGAAAGGCACACAGTGGAAAAGCATTAAACAGAGCTGACTGTCTAAGAAACCTTATATGAAACCTTTAAATCCACATTCCCTTGCTTTTACACTTAAGTCACCTGTTTACTTTCTCTGGCTTGAAGGAAATGAGGGAAAAAAGGAGAAAAAAAGAAGAAAAGGATTTGTGAACTATGCTTCATTCAAAAAACCCCATCTCCCCAGCATTTACAGCTCAGTTGAACGGCAGCAAAAGCTTTAATGAAGCGTGTGGTTAATCAAGCTATGGAAGAGTGCAGCAGTTGATTTTATTTTGCTGGAGTAGGAGCTTAATCGCAGCGGCTTGCTTCCTAACGCTGCTCATCTTCAGGAGCAGCAGATTTACGTCGTCTGAATGCTTCAAACGTGTCGATGTGGCTGGGCTTTGAACCCTTTCCCTGCTGAGGAGGTATCTCGGGAGGAAGGCGCCTTGGGCAGCCCCATGCCTGTGAGGCACCACCAAATAATTGTGGCGCGAGGGCTGCTGCCTGTCGCTCCGAATAACGAACAAGAAGGGCACCATCTTCCTGTGAACTGTGCAGCAGAAGGGCAATGCTTAAAACAGAGATATATATGACAGGGTCCAGGAATTACAGTGTTTTGTTTTGTGTCTCTACCTGATTTTTGCTTTTTTTTTTAGGAGGAATTAAGGAGGAGGTGAATAGGAAACTGCTACTTCTCTCTTGGACACTTTAAGGTGTGCTGGAAAATCTGGCCCCTGTCAGGGCACTCCCTCTCATCCAAAAATGAGGTAAAAAAAAAAAAAATCAAGCTCGACGTGCTGGATTTTTAGTTGTTGACATTATTTACTGTGCTCTTAACAAACGGTGCCCTAAGGAGAATGAGAATAATGTGCTCCAGCAGCAAAATATGCATAATAAAGAAGCAATTGCCTATGGTTTCCTGGGATTTCTTACTCCGTGCTCTCTACCTCCCTATTCCTTCATTGTTTCAAGCTAATGTGTATTTCAGTTCTGCCATGCAAATATTCAGAAGGGCTCCCTGCACCAAAGGAGAGGAAACGAAATACATTCAAATCACCGCTTCAGTGGCATAAGTTGTGTCTTGGTTTGCCAGAGACTTGGGTACATTCTTTAGCTGGCTGTATAACTCTGCTGTTGCTGCTTGTTGACTCGTGCTGAAGTCTTTTATGTGGCATATCTTGTTGCGAGCGG